ACAGTCACCCTGCATGACGAAACACCCCAGAGAGCCACCAGCTGTGGGGAAAGAAAGGCAATGGGGACTTCCCGAAGTTTCACAAACCACACTCTGCTGGCTTTGGTGAGTTTATACAAAAGCAACACCATTGCATTAACTTAGCTACTGAAACTTCCTGTTAGTCATCAGGCTCGCCCGCTAAACATCATTTATTAAACAGTCTGTGTCTTCTCCAGCGACTTAAATGATCACCCAACCATAAATCTGATCTGTAATTTGATCTGTCCGTCTTTCCCTCCTTGGAGAATTTTTTCCCTCTTGCCTTTCATGACACCGCCTTCCCCTGGATTCCCCATGTCTCCGACCATCCCTTGAAAGTCTCCTTGGCCTCTCCTCTAAGCTTTGTGTTACAAGATCATCTCCTGTCACTGTGCCCCGGGCCATGAGCAGACATCAGATGAAGATATACATGTTCGATGCCACTCCATCTGGTTGTACAAGTTGATCACTACACACTGGTGACCATGTACCCACCGGGCTCTCTGGGCTCCCATCTCTAGCCCAGGTAGCCCTTAAAACCCAGGCTCTTCCACCCAAACACACTTGGTCCGCCTCATCCTGGATGCCCCTCAGTGAGCCACACACTCAACATGGATTCATTTTCTTTCCTCCAAGCCCGTCCCTCTCCATCACTCAAGGCAGAAAGGCATCCCTGTCCATCCCCGACCTGCCACATCCTGGCTGACAGATGTGACCTCCTCCTTCACAGCCACTGCTGCAGTTCGGTGTCTGACCTCATTATTTCTCTTCTCATTTAGGCTGCTGGGCTCACGCTTACTCAAATCCTTCAGGATGCTGCCACAATATCCTGATTGTCTCATGCCACTGCTTGGGGGCTTTCCTTGGCTTCCCACTGGGCAAAGATCCCGCTCCTCCGTGTGCCTCAGGAGTCTTTTGTAGGTCACACCTCTGTTTCTCCTGCTGCTTTGCCCTTTGCTTGGACGACAACGTGCCTCAGAACACTTGAATCAAGGCGGTCTTCCCAGAAGACTTTTTGATCACCAGATAAAGCTGCCTAGTGCCCCTTTTGGACACCTAGACTTCCACGCCAGTCTCTGCCATGCTTGTGGGTGTATTCATTTCTCTGGCCCCATTAGAACTGCTTAAAACTGAGAAGATATCCTGTTTGATCTCGTGTGTACCCAGAGCCAGGCTCTGGGCACAATGACTGGCATCATGATGATCTCTACCCATGAAACCCTAATAAATGTGAAAATAAGCAAATTCACCGGAGCCAGGGAAGACAAATGAAAATGAGGCTTTCAAGTTTATATAGTGTGTACAAAAGAGGCCAAAACCCTTCTGCTCAGCCTCCTCTGGTAGGGAGATCAGGGATTACGGGAAGGATGACTAGGAGCTCAGGCAGCCTTCTGTACTTACAGTTCCTCACTGGCAGCTTCTTTTGCCACCTCAGAGGACTGAAAGTGTTCGTGAAAAAAAAAATTTGCATCTGCACTGAACAGTTAAGTCTTTCTTTAGCTTGTCATTATTCCCTGAACAATACAGCAGAACAACTATTTACACAACACTGACATTGTCTGAGACACTATGAGTAATCTGGAGATTCATGAACACATACCAGAGCACGTGCATGAGCCCTGTTTAAACACCAGGCCGTCTTACAGAAGGGACGTGTGCACCTGCAGAAATTTTTGATGCAGAGGTCCTGAAGCAATTCCCTGCTGAGACTGAGAGATTTATCTGGAAGAAAGGCAGGCGAAGGGGAAGGGAGGAATGGACCACAGCAGCTCGTAACAGTGAGCAGCTTCAGCATGAAGAACTAGAGAAAGAGCCAAGAGGGAGGCAGAAAGTGGGGGGACATAGCTGGTCCCCCAACGATGCACTAACCCGGATGCCTTCCAGACTGGGAGGGAAGCAGGTATGAGCGATGAGTAGCCCCTCTGAGAGGGACTTTTCTGCAGAAAGCAGGCAAATTCCAAAAGGGTAAAAACAAGAATTTCAAGGCAAAGTCAGAGAGACATCTGCTTCCTTTCCCTTAGACTAAGGGCAAAATTCTTAACACGAGCTTTGGGGTCTCTGCTGTCGGTCAGGTATTTCTCATCCTCAGTCCCTTCCTCATCCATCCTGTCCCAGCTGAAAGCGGCCCCCTCCACCAGGAAGCTCCCAGGATAGCTCCACCCCACTCAGGGTCTCTAGGTGACGTATTCTTCAAATCCCCCAGAGTTCTCCTTCATAACCTTTCTCATGATTTTAAGCAGATAGGTGTTAATTTAAAATCTGCTTTAACTATAAGGAAATCAGCAGTCGGAGGTCAGGGACACCCTGCCTGGCACCTATTTGAGGAGTAATAACTGTGTTGTGTGAATGATGATACCAGGCATGGTGGCACGTCCCTGTAATCCCAGCATTTGGGAGGCTGAGGCAGGAAGATCACCTGGAGTTCAAGCCAGTCTGGGCTACAAAGTGAGTTCAAGACCAGCCTGAACTGCACAGCAATATCCTATCTCAAAAAACAAAGTAACAACAAATACAGAGTGAAAGATGACTCAATCTATTGAACAGACAGTCAATAAAACAACACATAATGACTGAAACTGGCATATATAATCTAGAATTAAAGACAAGGAGTTAGGTTACCCTTAGTACAAAAGAGGTTAAAAGATTACCTAACAAACTATAGCAACCCTGCCTACATTGCTATCATAAAGTTCATGAATTTGTAAACTAAAATCATCTTTCACATTTTGAGTATTTATTTGAACCCAGGGCTCTTAGCATACCAAGTAAATATTCTGCCACTAAACCACATCTCCATCCTCTACCTTTTGCATTTTTAAGCAGTTGAAAAAGACTCAAAGAAGAATGACATTGTATAAGATATAAAAGTTACCTGAAATTCACATTCGGCATCTATAAATCAAGTGTTAATGGACAAAGCCGCACTTAGAGCTTATATACCACCGATGGCAGCTTTTTTTGAATGGAAGAGCTGTGACAGAGACCACATGACCTCAAACCTAAAATATTTACTTCCAGGTCCTTTAGAGAAAGTCAGTCTACCTGTGAGCGAAACATCACCGGAATCCCTGCATCTCAGGACCTGTAGGAAGGCTCTGGCCCAGAGGCTGGTGCTGAAGTCCAAATCCCACGAAAAACCAAACCAAACCAAACAAAACCTCCCAGACGTTGTCTACTGATGCAAAATGTGACTTAAGTATTCACTAACAAGTTCAGTGCTAGTTGTGTGTGATTATGTGATTATTAGAAACACGCGTGGGGTTGGAAAGCACAGTATGAGAAAGCTGTCTCTAATACCTTGTCAAAGAGTTCCAAGTAGAACATGGGCAGTATCCCTTGATTTATCTTTTTTAAGTAAGCATATCTATGTTTAGAAGGTGACTGAATACAGATATGTGACAGGATACATGTGACAAGTACCTCTGGAAAAGGACCGGGATTTTTATACTTAGTCATCCATCTATTCATTCACTCATGGTACAGGGATAGAGCTTCATGCATGCTAGGCAAGTCTACCTCCAAATTCTGCATTGTTCAGATGGTGATCTGTGTATAAACACACCCTCCTCTGAAACATGGTACAGGGATAGAGCTTCATGCATGCTAGGCAAGTCTACCTCCAAATTCTGCATTGTTCAGACGGGGATCTGTGTATAAACACTCCCTCCTCTGAAACATGGTACAGGGATAGAGCTTCATGCATGCTAGGCAAGTCTACCTCCAAATTCTGCATTGTTCAGACGGGGATCTGTGTATAAACACACCCTCCTCTGAAACTCCGGGGCTCAGTAACAAAGCTGCTCGTGTGTTTGTTTTGAGGAACAAGAGATTAGGACCGTTAGAAACAGTCTTACTTCCCTTTTCCTAGAAACACCAGTCACCTCTTCACTTAGCATACCCCAGCGAAGCTTGCAGAAGTTGGGTGCCCGGAGGTATGTATAAACCAGCCACCCAGAGTGGCAGCTGGCAGCTGGCTGCATCTTCCTCTAAACAACAGCCGGTTCCCCTGCCACCAGGACCCTTCCCTCTGGTGCAGGACCATAACTGTAACTGTAACTCTTCAGCCCAGGTGACAGGAGGTGGCCATGAAGTCAAGAGGTCACAGACCAGGGAAGTGAGAAGCCAAGGCGAGGCCACCAGGTGGATCTGGGTACAACTTCCTGTTCCACGTGGCTGCATGCCTGGGATTCCAACCAAATCCAACTGTCCCATGCTGTCTCTCTTGGTCCTTTCATGCTAAAATCCTTGGGGGTCACAGAGTTCAAGCCACAGGGCTCCTAGCTGCCCTGCCTGATGCAGGACCAAGCCTGAACAGCCCTGCTCACCTTGGAATAGAGGTGCCAACACTGCATACCCTTCTCCAAACCATCTCCAGTCCGTATCTGGGGATGCTGGAGTTGTTTGGAAGGCCCAAGAAATCCATAATAATTGCATAGAGGTGCAATCCTACTCAGCTCAGAAATGCTTGTGGAATATCTGCTATCTGCTGGGATAAAGCAACCACCCATAAACCCAGCATTTCCCAAAGGACATTCTGAGAAATGCCAGCTAGTGAGATACATCAGGAGGGAAACAAAGGTACATTTAGGGAAACCATTCCCTTGCAATCTCTCCTTTGGAGGATCAGTATCATCAGGATATTCAGAGTTCAGAGAAAATATGCGGATGCTAAATCTGCTTCACCTGTGGGAAAACTTTCCAGGTCCCCTTTGAAAAACACAGCTCCAAACCCTGAGATAGGGTTCCATCAAGATGCTCAGGGAAGAACTTTGAAAGGAAGGCTTCCCTTTTGAGGACTCTTCCAGAACTGCAGACCCAGGCTCAGACGCCCACCACCCAGCACTTCAGGGCTTGGTTAGTATAGATTGATCAAGAGGAAATTCCAAATCCAGGGAGTGGGGGTGGGAGCGGACCAGGAGTCTCTCCAGAGACACAGACACCCAGAGGCTGCTGCAGGAAGCTCTCCAAGCAGGACTTACCATTGGTGGTCGTGTTGACATAGTAACGCCGGCCCTGAGGAGACAGATAGCTCTGCCAGCCAGGTGGGAGGACGACCGTCTGGCTTTCCTCTCCCGGCGGAGGGGGGACCATTCCAGGCTTCTGTTGGAGAGGAAAGAAAAGGTCACCTACAGAGGCAACATACATGTGATTTCAGGGGCTACAAGAGCGTAGGGTATGAGGAGGCCTTGATTTTCCAAAAGCCCCTGGCAGAAAGGACAGAACTTTCAGATCACAGAGGGGAAAGCCAGGTAGCCAACAGAGCTGGGCTTTCTCCCCTTCGAGACTCTCAAAAATCAATCATGGGGATGCTGCACTAGCCAGGGGCCCTGTCACGCCTGCACTCCTGCTGCAGAATCCGGGGCCTAGCGTCCCTAGGACCACCGAGTGCCGGACACACAGGCCCCCAGCCCGCTGTGCAAGCCTCATTAATGAATGCATTCTGTAAGAGCACTGAGAAGCCATCAGGCACTGGATGGGGCTCTTCTCACCAAGTATCCAAAATATCCCAGCAAAGAGAATGGGGATTCTGAGACATAGTGGATCCTGAGTTTCCAGTGTATGCAGGTATGTAGAGTCTGGTGCTTTAGCCATGCACACGGTACTTACATTCTTTTTTTTTTTTTTTTTTTTTTTTTTTTGTCTTTTTCGTTTTTATCGGTACCAGGGATCGAACGCACGACTGCCTGCTTGCAGGGGCAGGCGCTTATGCCGCTGAGCTAAATCCCCAGCCCTGGTACTTACATTCTTAAAAAACAAGGAGAAAAAGAAAACAGTGCGTGTGTGTGCATGCTTGTATGTGTGTGTGTGTGTATGAGAGAGAGAGAGAGAGAGAGAGAGAGAGAAACTTGCTGTGAGGTAGATAATGGACTAAAATATCATCGCAGTGCTCTGATGGTAGAATTATGGCTCATTTTTATTGTCTTCCTACTTATCTGTTCCATCTGAATTTTCTCAAACACAAAAATAAAAATTTTTGGCTAAAGAACATTTAAAAATAAGGACTGAGGGTTCAAAATGAGCCCGTGCACCCTTTGAAGGCAGGCAACTGATGAGAAGGATCGGAACCACAGGAGTGCAGTGGCCATGGGCTTCGCAGCACAGCTGGAATCTGTGCAGGAGCATTCAGGGCCAGTGGCCCCTAGTGTCCACAGCGTCTCCTGGCCACGCCCACAGGGTGGGTTTTTAAAAAAAATTAGTTAATTAATTTTTGCCACTGATGACTACTGCTTAGGAAAATAGGATTGCAGATTAAAAAGGAGCAGAGGGGACAGGAACGCATGGGCGGCTCCTGGTTTGGTGAAGGCTGCAATACCAGGAGTCCCTGCTCCCTACACACCGTCAGGAGTGACAGGTCATGTGCCGTCAGTAAATCCTGGCTGATTTTGAGTAAGCACAGCCCTCCCTCCGGCCTCTGAGCAGCTACTTTGTGTGCTTCACTGTGAATCTTTATTGTGAATCCCCTGTGTCCTGGATGTCTCCGGCCTCCACACCTGTACCCACAAGCCCACAGCGCCTTGGGGATTCCACACGGAGGATCATTTTCTAAACAAGCCGAGGCAGGGTGGTGTCTTACCAGGGCTGTCCTCTCGCCAGAACCACATGTCCATTAAGCACAAGCTCACACCCGAGCAGGACTTCCACGTCCCTGTGGCCTCTTCAGGACTGGAGGATGGCCAGAACACATGCAAGACAAACGTTTAAAGAGGAGAAAGAGAGGGAGCTTGGCGTGTGAGTTCTTCTGCATATAGCAGGTGTAAATGCTGGCCAGCAGGGTTGGGAGGAAAGCACTCAGAGGACCACGGGGCTTAAGGATGAGTGTTTTGCAGAAAAGAAAGCTCTCTGGAAGGGCAGGGGTATGGTGCCAGGTTCCTTTTCCTTGAACCTAACTAACAAAACACCCAGGAAGGAATAGCCTTATTGGTGTTTGTTGCAATAACTGAGGGAAAAATAGAAAATTGTTACAGGGGATTCAACAGAGTATGAAACAGTTGTGGGCAGGAATGGGTCACAGAGAGAGGGACGCAGAGGCAGAGTGAAAAGAGCCCACAGACCTCAGGCTTAAAACATTGTCAGTGCCAACCCTAACAGGGTCACGTGGTAACCACATCTCGCCTCAGGGGAATGACTCAGGCTCTTTCTACATGTACAAAAGCAAAGGTGCTAGTGTCAGCCCAGTTAGGAAAGATGCTAATAAGATAAACATTAGCACACTGGAAACCTAGCAAAGGGACTGCCACCAGGAATGGCCAAGCAGTGGGCGTTCCCACTGGAGGGCGGTACAGGGAGACGGGGTTCCCTCACGCTCTGCCTTTTGAGGTCTGAAGCTGGGGTGAACACACCCAGCCTCACCTTCAGCGAGTGTGACATGTCGTCCACAATTGTCAGTCTAGGTTTCTGTTTCTAAGCCTACTGGGGAAAAACTGGGGAGTGGTCCACCCTTTCGATCTACTGAGGAAGTTAGGTAATAAGTAGCCACTCCTCCCCTGGGCCAGAGAGCGGGGAGACCCATCCTCTGACTCTCCTCTGATAGAGGCAGGATGACTATCTCCTCCTTTGCTGGTACACACTGCTCTTCTCCCCGTGATGGCCCTGGGGTTCAGAAGACGCCCCAGTCTACATGCAAGGGCATGGAGGACCAAGGAGGTCATCCCTTGACTAGGAAATGCAGGATCTTTCAAGGAAAGCATCCTGTATATGAAATCAGGGAAGACCAAGAAGTGACCAAAGAAGGCAGAAAGGACACCCAGGCCAAAAGAACTTATCTCCTAATTCCGTCAACGTGGCACAGCTGACCTCCACATCGCCACGCACGGCAGGCCTTCCCTGCCCACCAGCTACAGCACGCCTCTGGCAGCAGATGCAGCTGCAGTGCCTGGGTCTCCCCCTTTCTCAGAAAAAAATTCCCCTCGGTGCTGACTGCACACGGATCAAGAGTCAAAAGACATGGAGACAACAGGACACACAGCCTAAATTGGAATCCACAACATTCCTTCCTTCCTTCTTTCCTTTATTTTTGGGTACCTGGAATCGAATTCAGGACCTCACACTTGCCAGCAGGCACTGTGCCACTGAGCTGCATCCCCAGCCTCCAACATCAGTCTTAAAGCCCCAAATGGACATCCATGGGTGACTGGAGGAAACAAGTGTGGAAATAAAAAGAAATAGAGTGCTCTACATGCTGTAGCACAGATGCACCATTAAAGCATGATTGTCATTGAGAGAACTGACATAACAAAGTCCACTTATCACATAATTTCATTTATATAAAAAGTTCAAAGCAGGCAAAGGCATAGAGTCATAAATAGACCAGTGGTTGCCAAGGACTTGAGGGAGAGAAGTATTTCTTGGGGAAGAGAAGGATTTCTTCAGGGATTATGAAAATATTCAGAGCTGGACAGTGACATGGCTGTATAATACGAATGTGTCAGAGTCTTACATGGTCCAATTTAGGTTTATTTTATCCCAATAAAAATATTTTTAAAGACACAATAAAGGCAGAGTTAGAATACAACACCTACTAATCCTGCCCAAAGTGTCAATGTTGCCTTGTTCTTAGTGACCACGGGAGAGACAGGCACAGTTAACCATCCACAAGAGCTGCCCAAAGACATCAGAAAACACTGCATAACCACCCAGTCATTACGGTCTCCTCCACTTCTTCATCTAATTAGTCTCCTTCCAATTTAAATCCTTCCCTTCCTTAGCTTTGTGGTTGCTTGCCTTGTTTTCAGCTCTTTCTCAGGAGAATAAAAACCAGAAACACAGGTGACATGGTCAGAGGACTGCATGGTGTCACCTAGAAAGAACAGACCGGGGGTAACTGGGCAGGGGAGATGAAAGCAGTCTCCTCTCCTCAGACTCCAAGAGTTTCTGAACCCACTGCGTAGACATCTTGGAAATCTGGCCTGCCTCTTCATCTGAAAGGAGTCATCCCTGGGCCAAGTGCAAGGCTGGGGTTCAGTTTCTCCCCTTCTGCCCTCTTTTTTTCAATCAACAATCCTCTCAGCTACAAGAATATAGGAAACCCCAAGAATATAAGAAAATTTATCGATACCACCTCCTAAAATTGGTACAAGGGTCATTCAAGTTGGAGCATGTATCATTATATCATTTTCTAAATTTCTGAGTAATATTCCATTGCTTGAATAAACAAGGCAGTGTCTATTTTGTTTAGCCTTTCACACATTGATGTGAATTTGGTTTCTTTCCTTTTCCACTGTTATGGATAAGGCTGTTATCAACATTTGTATCCAAAATTTTTCTTCTCTTATTTCATGTTGTAATAGCAAGGGGCTCCTAGACCACTTTAAGACACTAGCCTAGTAGTTTCTCCAGAAAGATCTGAGCTCAGTTTCTGTTTCTACCCATGCAGACATTTGACTTTTGTCTCCGAATGTCTAAAAGGCACCAGGCCTGGGCTGAATGCTTTGTGCAATTACCTAATTTCCACAACCAGCCTGTCTCCAAATGCCACTGATTCTCATTTTTAAAGTGACCTTACAACGTGAAAGCTTACTAACTTGCCAAATAAATGGTAAAATTAAGCACCTATAAATGTTACCTTTGGGCTGGGGCTGCAGCTCAGTGGAGAGCATGTGTATAGCATACAAGAGGCCCTGAGTTCAATCCCTAGCACCGAAGGCAATCGCTTTGTTCTAGACTTCTATCCAGTTACCTAAGGCACCGTGGCCCATCTTCTGCAGCTTTCCCCAGCTCCATTTCTTCACCTGGGCTATCTAAGATCCAGCTCCCACCCAAGGAGGGTGACGGTCCGGGTCTGATTCTCCGGCCTGTCTCACATCTCCAAGTGAGCATATGCCTTCGCGGGAGAAATGCAAAAATATCACCACCCTCATCCAAGCCGTCACGTTTCCCAGCTGGAGGATGACTTCCTTGCCTCCTTATTTAAAACAGCACAACCAAAAGTAAAAAATGCTCCTCTTAATGGTGGCTACTGATTCCCTCTGAAAAAAAAGAAGCAGGTAAGGAAGGGAAGTCACCCAGAGATTAAAAAGAAGTGTCCTGCCGTGGGTGTGCTTGGTGGTAGAGTGCTTGCCTAGCATGCATGAGGCCCTGGGTTCTGTATCTCCAGTACCAAA